AGGGGTCCTGGATTGGAGAGGGTGCAGGCTGGGCTGAGGGGACCCTCCCCCAATACACCAGGCCTCCAGATTATTTATTTTTTAAAAAGTTCCATCATTTCAACATATGTACATATGTGCTTTATGGGTTCTTTTTAATATTTTTATTAATTTTAGAAAGGAGGGGAGAGGACGAGGGAGAAACATCAATGATGAGAGAGAATTATTGATTGGCTGCCTCTTGCACGCCCCCTACTGGGGATTGATCCTGCAACCCGGGCATGTGCCCTTGACCAAAATCAAACCCAGGATGACAATGCTCTATCCGCTGAGCCAAACGGGATAGCGCTGTGCTTTATGTTTCTTGTTATTTATTTACCACAAGTAAAGGTCAGGAATTGTTATCTTTCTTTTAATGTTTTTTAATGTTTCATTTCATTGCTGCTGTGTATGTGCCCCATGTGAGTGATGCAGGTGCTTCTGTAGGTGGGTTCCGACTTACGGCTAAAATCGCCATGCGTCCCCCCGAGGACCTACTGTGACGGACCCAAAGGGCAGCGAGCCGGGCATAACGATGCTAACAACCGCAGTCAGTGTGCAATCCTGCAGGAGAACAAAGGGAGCCTTGGGCTGGGGACACATAGCCCCGCCCCCAAAAATGGGGAAAGTTCTGAATGAGACAAAATCAATGGCTGCCGGACCGGTACCCATGCCTGCTCACTGCTAAGTCACCACCTTCCACTCCTGTCACGCTGGGCAGGGGCAGTGGCGCCCCCACTGGTGACTAACCTGCCCTGCAGACCGTATTGCAGTCCCTCCACCCCATTCCCCCAAAGTCGAGGTAATCAAGACAAGAAAAGGCAGCCTTTACGGAGTTCATGCTACGTCTCGGGCACTGTTTGTTAACGGCCTCATTAAATAGAATATTTCTCTTTTTTTAATATATTTTTACTGATTTCAGAGAAGAAGGGAGAGGGGGAGAGAGACAGAAACCTCAATGATGAGAGAGAACCACTGATCAGCTGCCCCCTGCACGCCCCCTACTGGGGATGGAGCTCACAGCTCGGGCATGTGCCCTTGGCCAGAAACCAACGCAGGACCCTTCAGTCCTCAGGCCGAAGCTCTATCCACTGAGCCAAACCGGCTAGAGCAGACTATTTCATTTAAGGTCTGGGAGCCGCCCCGTTTTCTAGGCTGAGAAATTGAACGTCAGGCAGGACACGCGACCACGAAAAAGCTAGCGCCGCAATGCAGAGCGAGTGGTCATTTGCAAACCCCGCAGCTGCGCGCCAGGGTCCTCCTCAGAGCCACCCGCACCTCCTTGTTGCGCAGAGTGTACACCACCGGGTTCAGCAGCGGCGTCACCACCGTGTAGAAGACGGCCACCAGGCGGTCCTGGGCAGGGTTTCCGACGGACTCCGGGCGCAGGTAGATGATGGAGGCGCAGCCAAAATGCACGATGACCACGGTGAGGTGGGCCGCGCAGGTGGAGAAGGCCTTGCGCCGGCCAGCGGCCGCAGGGATCCTCACAATGGCAGCCACGATGAAGGCGTAGGAGAGGAGGATGAGGAGGAAGGAGACCAGCACCACCAGGACGCTGAGGAAGAAGATGCCCAGCGCTTTGCCTGCGCTCTCGGTGCAGCTGAGCTTCAAGACGGGTGCGATGTCGCAGAAAAAGTGCTCCACGCGGTTGCTGCGGCAGAAGGGCGACGAGAAGATCATGCTGGTCTCGATCAGGGCCACCAAGAACCCCAAACAGAAAACCAGGGCTCCCAGGCAGAGGCAGACTGTGGGTCTCATGATCACCGAGTACCGCAGCGGGTGGCAGATGGCTACGTAGCGGTCATAACCCATCAGGGTCAGGAGGAAGCAGTGGCTGCAACCCAGGCCCAGGAAGAAGAACATCTGAGCCCGACAGCCAGCAATGGAGACGGCCTGGCTCTCCATGAGCAGATGAGCCAGCATATTCGGGATGGTGACCAGCGTGTAGCAGGTCTCCGAGAGGGACAGCACCGCCAGGAAGCGGTACATGGGGGTGTGAAGGGTCCGATCCACATGGATAATGGTGATGATGGTGACATTGCCACTGAGGGTGACCAGGTACATGAGGAAGAACAGCGTGAAGAGGGTGGTCCTCAGGTGTGGGAGGTTGGAGAAACCCACCAGCACAAACTGTGTCACCAGCCAGGTGGCATTTTCCCACTGCTTTTTAGGAGTCTGAGGAGAGAGGACTGAGAAAATGCAATAGACCAAGTTACTGAGGGTCAGTTACACATCCTTGTTCTACAAAAAGGAAAAGAGAGGCTCGGAAATGGTGTCACACAGACAACAGGGTGGTGATTGGGGAGGTGGGGCGCAGTGGAGGTGGAAAAGGGTGAAGGGGGGACAAATGGTGATGGGAAAAAAAGAAATGATGTCACTTGTTTTCCTAATATCACCCAGCTAACAAGTGTCTCTTTAATAACAAGAAAATCATAGATGTGGGAACAGCCTAAGTGCTTTTCAACAGGTAAGTGGATAGCGGAGATGTGGTGATATATGCAGTGGAATATTATTCAGGCACTGGAGGCCCGATGCACAAAGATTCGGGCAAGAATGGGCCTTCCTTCCCCAGGCTGCTGGCACCACCTTCTCTCCCTCCTGCCGGAGCCACCTTCCCGCCTTCCCACGCTGCCCAGAGGCCCAGAGCAATTGGGGCGGTGCTGAATGCCTGCCTCCAGCCCCCCCAGCCACTCTGCACCTGCCTATACAAATTAACCCACCATCTTTGTTGGGTTAATTTTGCACGCTCATTCCTGATTGGCTGTAGGTGATGCAAAGATATGGTCAATTTGCATCTTTCTCTTTTATTAGTGTACATGAGAAAGACTGAAATTCTGCCATTTGCAACAACATGGGTGGACCTTAAGGGCATTATTCTAAGGGAAATAAGTCAGACAGAAAAAGACAAACACCATTTGATCTCACTCATATGTGGAATCTGAAAAAGTTAAACTTTCATAAAAACAGAGTGAAATGGTGGTTGCCAGGGGCTGGAGGGTGGAGGAAGAGGAGAAATATTGTTTATGGATATAAACTTTCAACTAGGAGATAAATAAGTCCCAGAGATCTAAGGCACAGAAAAGTGAATATACACAACAATATTGTATTATAATTATCCAACTTTCTAAGAGACCAGATCTTAACTATTCCCACCACACAAAAGAAATGATAATTTTGTGACACGATAGAGGTGCTAATTATTGCTACAATGGCAATTATATCACAACATATGAATGTATCACATTAGCATGTTATACACCTTAAACTTACATAATGTTACATGTCTAATACATTTCAATACTTTAAAATATATTTCAGAGAGGAAGGGAGAGGGAGCGGGAGAGAGAGAGAACCATCAATGATGAAACTTACACAATGTTTCATGTCTACTACATTTCAATACTTTAAAATTTATTTCAGAGAGGAAGGGAGAGGGAGAGGGAGAGAGAGAGAACCATCAATCATGAAAGAGAATCATTGATCAGATCCAGCCTGCAACCCCGGGCATATGCCCAGATCAGTAATCAAACCGTGACCTCCTGGTTCATAGGTCGAAGCTTAACCACTGAGCCAAGCCCACCGGGCAAATACATCTCCATTTTTTAAAAAGAAAAGAAAATCACAAAAATCTATAAGGGATAGATACTTATATTGGGGTTAGGGAGAGGTGGTGAGAACACCAAGGCCTTAATCTGAGTCCCCTAGAAACAGATCCTGAGGCAAGGATTCAAGAGCAAATAGTTTATCTGGACCATCATCCTGCAAAACATAGGCAGGAGCTGGGGGAGAGAGAGACATAACAAAGGCACATTGTCAAGGAAATTACCACTGGCGACTAGACTTTAACCCCACCTGAGGAACCCTAAGGGACAGTGAGGAAACTGGGTGTTTACCCATCAACTCCTGTTTGCCATTGCTTGAGAGTTTCTACCAGGAGACAGTAATCTCCCAGCACTTCCAATTTGCCACCATGTGCAGAGAATACAAGGACATAATAAAAGCCAAGGGGGTGTGGGCCAAGTATTTACTACTGTGTCTGCTACAGTTCAAATACCCGAGAAAGGCAAAGCTTGTAACACTGTCATTATCTACATTTTTTGTTTTTTACTTTTTAAATTTTTTTGCTTTAGGGCTGCATTGGTGTAAAGATGAATGCACGCTTCAATCCTAAAACTGCGTTTATTTCTTCTGATCTTAAAAGAAATTTAAATAACATCATGGACCCCCTTAATAGTATGGTGGGCCCCAGGCATTGTGCCCCATGGACACATCTGTATTCATTAAATGGAACATAATTCTGAAATAATTGTCCATTTTAATTGCAATTATGAGACTTCAGTAGAAATACTGAATTGTTATCCTAGATTACACTCTACCTCAGAAAATAAAAGATACAGTATCAATAGTAGAGTATTTCCGGGGTATTTTTCACTCAGTTGGAACATGGGAATCTGCTTTAAGGGAAATGGTCCCAATGCACTCTTTCCCTGCTTGTTGAGAGTTAATTGGTTGAGAGATAAACATAGTTCAGCCTGGGGAGCCTCAAACACCAACTCAGAGACAAGAAGGTGGGTCTGCAGAGAGCAGAGTCCTGATTTATCCGCCATCTAGTGGCACTTGGGGTGATCTGCAAACCAGTGATCCTCATATTGCAATTATGACTTCAGTAGAAATACTGAATCATTATCATTGATTACTCTCTACCTCAGAAAAAAAAGGTACAGTATCTATATTAGAGTGTTTTTGAGGGTATTTTTTCACTCCGTTAGAACATGGGACTCTGCTTTAAGGGAAATGGTCCCAATGCAGTCCTTCCCTGCTTATTGAGAGTTAATTGGTTGAGAGATAAACATAGTTCAGCCTGGGGAGCCTCAAACACCAACTCAGAGACAAGAAGGTGGGTCTGCAGAGAGCAGAGTCCTGATTTATCCGCCATCTAGTGGCACTTGGGGTGATCTGCAAACCAGCGATCCTCATAAGAAGAGAAAAAAATGAATGGCTGTGCCCCTAAAAATACTCACCCACAGCAACGGGGCCAGAGAAATTGACAATGGCCATCTAAATGTCTTGGAAGTTTGCCGCAAGTTTAATTCTGCAAAAATCAATTAAGTGAAGAATGTTCCAACTCCTCACATTGAGAAACATCCCTTCATAATGACCTGTAAATGGCCGACGGGAATAGGTCAGACCTTCTCAGGCATCTTAAAGATGCACTCAGTGTAGGCGTCTCTTCTACCACAACCATCCACCCTCTACTCGCATGCCTCAAAGGACAAGAAAGTCACTCCCTGACAAACATCCCTTGGCGTGAGCAGAAATTCTGTGCTCAAAACAGCCCTTCTGGTACCTGCAGGGACAACCACACTGAGCTCTGGAAGCACACAGGCCTACGTTTGAATGTTGGTGCCTGCACCTACGAGGGCAGTGTGACCGTGGGCAGCTGGTTTGGGCCCTGCGAGCCCCATCTATGAAAGTGGAGACTGATCCGTGAGCTCTCAGATAATAGTTCCTAAGATGCCCTGAACCATGCTACAAACCCTGTGGTCTCAGAATTCTTGCAAGGAGAGACGGGATTGTCGTTCTCGGCTTTGCACTGCTGAGGAAGCGGAGCATATATGGGATAATCTCTCATCTCACCATTGTGGTGCCGGGAGTCAAAGCCAGGACTGTGTCGCTGGAGGGTGTGGTTTAAAGGGCTGCTAGTCTGCAGGCTCGTTTTTCATCCTGCACTTATTCATTGAGCACCTGCTCTGTGCTGGGTGCTGCTCTGGGCACTGAGGACACAGCAGGGAAATAAACAGGCAGAGATCCCAGCTTTGGAGGAGCAGAAAGTTCTAGAGACGTGAACCAGGCAATAAACAAGGGATGTGATAATAAATAAGTGAGAGGCCATATTGGGCCGTAAGTGCTGCCAAGAAAGAGAAGCAGTGTATTCAAAGGGTCATCGAGGGTCTGAGGAAGGTGGCAATTTTACAGAAGATGGTCAGGAAAGGGCTTGTTGAGGCTTACTGTTCAGTCACTCAGAATTCCTTGTTTCCCCTCCCTTATTTTCAGATCTCACAGGTAGGGCTGGGGAGGGGCCAAGGTGGCTTCTCCAGCAAAACAAAGGCCCCGAATTCACACTTGAAAGAAACGGGAAAGACACCAGCCAATGAACTTATATGCATACGTGCATGACCCTTGGACAGTCACTGGTGTGGTGAGGGCCTGGGGGGTCAGGGGGAGGAAATATGGGAGCAGGCTGGAAGAGGTTAATGAAGAGAAAGTAGGACCTATGTAATATTTTCAACAATAAAGATTAAAAGAAAAAAAAAGAAATGAGCAAATGAGTCAAGAGGATCCTAGGGGAAGAAAGTGTCCTAGGTAGAGGCCGCAGCCAGTGCAAAGGCCCTGAGGCTGCACTGTGCCTGGAACAGGCGCAGCAGGAGGGAGAGAGGGGCAGAAGGAGGAAGTGAGAGGGAGGGTGGGGTGGGAGGTGATGAGAGCACGCTGCATACAGTCTTGTGGGTCACAGTGAGGACTTCAGCTTCTACACCGAGTGATGTGGGAGCCACGGAGGACTCTGAGCAGAGGAGGGACCTGACCTAACTCGGGTGTTCCCGGGTGCCCTTGGGCCTCTGTGGGAGACCAGAGTTTGGGGAACATGAGTGGGAAGGATGAGGGCTGGACCAGGGAGGTGGTGAGAGATGGCCATTTATGGACAGAGTGTGCAGGTGGAGCCCACTGGGTTTTCTGACAAGATGTGGGTGTGAGAAAGCAGTGGGTGGGAGCTGGCAGAGCTGCAACAGGAGGGTAGGGTGGGGCCCAGCCAGCCAGAGGTCAGAGGAGACTCTGTTCAGCCCTGGGAATGCCAGAGGCAGACATACACCTAACATGGTGGACACATACGGACAGCCAGGCCCTGGGCCACCCTCGCCACCGAGGTGGCATGTGTGCCAGCCCCCTGCACACACCTCAGAGAAAGGGAAGAAGGGGACTTCCTGAATGGGGCTGAAATTGAACCCTGCAACACCTGAGAAGCTGTGACTTTGAGTTTGCCTCAAAGTGTCCAAATTGTGACAGGTGAGTGTCTGGCCAAAAGGAAGTCAGGTTACAGGTCTAGGAAGTTCTGATTTGCATACCTGGAGCCTATGAAAATCGCACCTATGGAGAGATCCCCGGGCCAGCTGCTGGCTTGGTGGGAGAGTTAGCGGGAGGCAGCGGGTACTGAGCTCAGGGGCAGGCCCATGGCAGAAACGCACAGGGCTGGAGCTTTCCTTTTCCTCTCCCTCTTTCTTCTCATCAGGAAGCTCTCCCGGAAGCAGGAGCCCCGGCCCCACCACCTCTAAGCCCTCGCTGCTGAGTGACTCAATGAGCATGTGTGCATTCACACCGAGGAAGCTCCAGGATATATGCCCGCATGTGTGTGCCTGCTGCTTGCAGGGCATGCGTGTGTGCATTTGGTGCCCCATGTGCTCAGACCACACATGAGCTGGGGGTGGGCTTGGGTGGCTTCTCCAGTCCGGCAAAGGCCCCGAATTCATACTCACCATGGCCAACAGAGCTTCCTGCCTGCATTGCTCACTGCTTGCAGCCTAAGAGGGGAGGGCTGAGGACCTGGGCCCTGTTATACGCGGATCTCTAGAGCTGCTGTCTCAGGGGCCCCCAGCCACTAACAAGCCCCCCAGGGCTCAGGCTGGAGAGACCCTACGGGTTTCTTTCCCTCCTGGAAACTGGAGACCCCAGGGTCCACTTCTCCGGCCCCCAGGCTCTCGTGGCAAAAAATGGGAAAGGACTAATGATGATTTCCTGTTGTGAATGGCTGTCACGAATGCTCTCGACACCCCATCAGTGCTCCCCAGGGCCTGTCAGTGCCCACCCTGCAGGGCAAAGCTGCTACCCCAAGGAAAATGCACCTTGAACCCTGCCCTAAAGGAGGGAAGGAAGAAGTGGATCCCTTGACGTTGTTATACAAATGTTCCCCAGCCTCAACTTCTTAGAGTGACCACAGCCTCTCAATCCCTCTCCCTGTTCTCTTCAGAATTAGTCGCCAAATCTTCTCTACTCTTCCTCCCCACGTTCCCATCCCCTCAGCCCCACCCGAACTCAGGCTACGACATTCCCACCCGTTGTAAAAGTTTGCAGCATCACCTTCCTCTAGTCTGTCCTCTGCACCGGCCACCAGAACAGGAGTCCTGGCTGTGTTCCCTCTCTACTCAGGGACCTTCCAGTGCTCCCCATTGCCCTCAGAGTGAAGTGTAAAATTCCCCATCTTCACATTTAAGACCCTTGTGATCTGGCCCCTGGTACCGTCTACAGTTCCAAATCCATCCATTGCTCCATGCAAACTGTCACACATCCGTTTAGTAAATTAACAACAAGAAAGTGAGGCATAGACCCAGCCATTCCAAACTGCTGCCCCTTCCTCTGAGACGTCCATGCTGTAGCACACCATTGTGCCCCTCCCTATGCTATTTCTTTTCCTCACCTCTTTGCCGCCTTGCAAACTCCTAGCCCGGCTGAGACACATCTCTACCAGAAAGAAGATGCACATACATCTTTATCCATTCATCCATTGACTGGCATTAGGTTGTTTCCATATTTTGGCTCATGTGAATAGTGCTGCAATGAGCACAGGAGTTCTGGCTGAGAAATTTCGCTTCATGAATTAAATTTCATGACTGCACATGAGTGTCATAATTTAGCAAACTTCTGCCCTATACCAACAACCCCTGTCATATTTGGGGTCCTCCCAGAAGTGACCCTGAGACAAGGCTTTGAGTAGAAGTAAGTTTACTTTGGAGGTGACCCTAGAAAATACGAGCAAGGAAGTGGAGTAATGAGAAAAGACAGGAAAAGAAGCTAATAGGGCATATGCTAGCAGGCAACTAACCCCTGTGGCAGCTGGGATGCATTCACTCTGCAAACCTCTGGGAAACAGCATGGAGTATTTATTAGTTGCTTCCACAAAATTCCAGCTTCTCTAAACCTGATTGCCCCTATATTTACTCCATCCCCAGTTCAAGAGCACAGGCTGATTGCTTTAAAAAATCAGCACATCCCCTATCCCATTACCATAATGTCTGGGTAGAGCAGCAGTGTTGAAAAGCAATCCCCCCAGCCACCATCACCAGGGGACAACTGGCAATGCCTGGAGACTTCTTTGGTTGTCACAATGGAAAAGGGGCATCTAGTGGGTCGGGGCCAGGGATGCCATTAAATATCCCACAATGCACAGGAGACCCCCTTTGGTAAAGAAGGACCTGGCCACAGATGTCAATAATGCCAACATTGAGAAACCATCAGTAAGAGGACGGGCACATGACCCAATTGGAATCCACACAAATCAACTCCAAGTCTAGAAGCTTCTCAGGTCCCTGGAAAGTGCCATATGGTTAATGATCTTTGCACTTATTTTGCTAACACAGAAGGAGCGCTATAGCTGTGAGGGTGGGAAGAGAAATTAGATTGGAGCCTGAGGATGACACTGATGCCCAGAGAACAATCTGTAGAGATGAGGAGAAATTCAGCCTTCTTTTCTGTCACTGCGTCAAATCTCCCTGAAGCTGGTCCTTATTAGTTACATGAGCTAATAATTGTGTTTGTTTGTTTAAATCAGCTGGGTTAATTTTTGTATCACATACAACCACAAGCACTCCAAGTGACAGGGGAATCAATGAACATTAACCCATCCTCTTTTCCTGGAGGATGCCCCTATATGAACACAACCTTGTCTTGGAGTACAATTGGTTGCAAGATATAGAAACCCATCCAAGCTGGTATATATAAAGGAGTATTTATTACAGAGCTGCAACATTGTCTCCATACACCAAGGAAACATGAAGTAGAGGTGACTTTCATGCAAAACTAGCATCAATGAAAAAATAACTGTGGTGTCAATGGAATGAATACTCAATTTACTGAAATTGATACTTCTGAAACTAAGATACTCACGCCTTCCAACTCTAGAACCATTGGAGCACTTTTCTCTGATTCTCCCTGCATACTAGCTCCATTCTTCTGCTGTTTGCAGAAGTACCTACCACTCCAAACTGGCCACCCATAGTTCTTAATCTGCTGGTGACCTTAAAAGCTCCACCAACTGACAGCTTTCTTAGCATTTCCATTAAACAATGTTTCCAAGCAAATCTGATTGAATCAAAAAAAGAAGAAACATAAGCGGGTAGGCAAGCTAAATGGATTTAACCTAAGATGGGAGCTCGTTAGCCTTGGAGAGACAGAAGATCCACCACTATCACTCCCCCACCTTATCTAGACACAGATCAATGACACTGAGTGTTAACTATTCCTTTATTAGGTGGTGAGGGGAGTGGGGGCTGTACAATGGGAACTTAGCTACACAGAAATTGTGATCAGAAGCCATATTACAAAAATTGCCTAAAAATACTTATATTCTGCCATGGCACTGGGCCAGGGGAGTACCAGGAGAGGTGCCACTCAGGCAGCTCCTTCCCATCTTGCAGTCCCATATGTACAGGGACACAAAGTGAAATGCACATATCTCCCCTAATCCTCACGTTCCCACCACCCACCCCCAAGTTCCCAAAGGAAGGTGGCCCAGGCTCAAGGGTGGGGAGACAATCTGGGGGTGGGCTCTCTGAGATAGAAGAGCCCTTTCCCCAGCAAAGCTATAGAACAAGTTCCATCTGGAATGCAGTGAAGTGAGGGACATGGGGTGGGGAGGAAGCTCCCACATCTTGCCAACCCCTGGCCCCAGAGGGTGCGCCCAAGGGTGACTACTTGGTACACACCAGGGTCATGTACTCGGTACACAGGATCCCAGTCATGCCTGTGTACTCGGTACACAGAATCCAGCTTGGCCAAATGGGCCCACAGACTCAGCCCCATGGGGGCACTGGGGGGTTTGCAGGGGGGCAGGGAGCATCTCCATATATATATTTTGTAAAAAATAATAATAATAATAATAAGTTTGTTTAAATGAATTTTGTTTCTATACAAAATGTAAAAAAAAAATAATAATCCACTCATGTCAGAGTGTGAGGAGTGAAAGAGGCCAGAGGAGGCAAGAAAGGAAGGAAGGGTGAGTTGGAGAGTAGGACAGGGGAGGACAGGAGGTGGTCCCAGACTCATCACAAGACCCATGGGTGGGGGTCAGCCTGAACCCCTTACAAATAAGGGAAGATTGAAGCCCTAGGCTGGTAAACTATGTCAGTCACACTGAAGGGGTAGGGGGTGCAGGGGGATTGGAAAAGAGAAAAGAGAATGAAAAAGATTAAAGGAAAATGGGGGAGAACAGAATCAGGATAGGGTGTCTCTTCAGTTGCCCAAACCCCAAGAACTGAGGAGCATCTCAAGCCAACACCTGCCTCTTGGGAGTGACTTCAGGCTGGGGCCCCAGCTGGGTCTGAGCCTGAACTAGGGGGCCAGGGACAGACAGGGAGAGTGGCTGGGCAGGAAGTGTCCCCGCAGCTGTGGCCGTGGCCCTACTGGCAGTGGCTGGGCTGGGTGTGGAATCAGACCAGTCTGACAGTGAGGGAGGCGAGGGGCTGGCCCAGTGCTCAGGGGACTCAGGGGATGGGGTCAGGTAGGGATGCTCACTCGGGACCCGGAGGAAGCGAGCCTTGGGGGGGCTGCCATGAGCCCCAGGTACCGGATACTCCTCACCATGTCCCGGAACAGCCAGATATGGTGGGGGCCGCTCCTGAGGAGACATGGGGGTCCCAGGATTCAGCAGCTGGGCTCCCGGTGCCAGTGGCAGCAGGAACGAGGGGCCTGGTGGGGCAGGTGGGGGCAGCCGGGCCCAGTCAAGGGGAACGGCCACAGGTTTCAGCAAGCCCAGGCTGAGTACACAGCCCCCGGGGGGCTGGCGCCCTAGACCTGCCCTGCCCACACCACCAAGTTGTGCCAGGGACACAGCCGTGGTGGTGGCACTCATGTAGGGCCCCTCGAGGGGGAAACCTCCAGGGGATGCAGGGGGCCCACCAAAGGGCCGTGGGGAGTCCAGAGAGTCTACAGGCGACAGTGTGACTGAGCTCTCAGCCAGAGGACCCGGGCAGGCCAGCGTCAGCTTCTTGCCCCGGCCCCGGGTGCCCTGTGGTCCCAGCCCTGCTTTCCCTGGTGGCCTTCGGCTCTTCTTGCCCCCCGACTGTGCCGCCTTGAGGCCAGGGAGGAAGGCCCCGGGCGGGCAGAGCAGGGGGCCCAGGCCATGGGAGCCCGGGGGACTGCGCGGCCCACTGGGCTGGTCTAGCAAGCGCACGATGTCCTGGTGCAGCCTCTCCTGGGCCACGTCCCGGGGCAGCCTGTCCAGATGGTCAGTGATCTCCCGGTTGGCAAAGTGATCCAGCAGCAGCTTGGCAGCCTCATAGCTGCCCTCCCGGGCAGCCAGGAACAGTGGTGTCTCCTCCTGGGGGGAGCCGAGAACCAGCCAGGTGTCAGGGTCACAAGGGCCAGCAACACCAGGGCCTCCGTCCTCTGATGGAACCTGAGAGCTAAGGTTCCAGCCTGACCGACCTGGGTTTGACTCCTCGCTCTGATAGGGAAGCCGAGGCAAGTTCTTTTATTTAAACCACAGTCATGGTGCACCTACTAAGTGCCAGGCCCCAGTGCCAGGAACAGGGTGATAAGAGTAAGGCACTCGCCTTAGACACAAATTTCAAAGGGGCACCAAAACTCGCAGTCATAAAAATTAATATTTTAATGCAATTTTTTAAAAAAAATTAATTTAAATTAATGCCAAAAATTCCATTAAAAAATATGGAAATTTTAAATAAGGACAGAATCCATCCTGCACCCCTCTGAGCCTCACTCTGCTTATCTGAGTAGAGTAACACCACCTTGCAAGGCTTTTTAAACAATGATCAAAAAGTTACCTTCTATTGCGGTAACACATTACCTCACTGAATCCTTGGAAGAGGCAATGAGATAGGTACTGTTGCTTCTCCATTTCACAGATGAGAACACTGAGGTCCAGAGGAGTTAAGCAACTTTCCCAAGGTCACATAGTAACTGCCACACACTTCCTCTTCTGACCTACTGTTGGAGCCTCTTGAGCCCAATTCCCAACCCTGAAAGCTGGCTGCAGGCTGGGTGAATGCTCCCACTTGCCTACTCCACCCCACTCTCTGCTACCTGGTAGGGGGAGGTCTGTGCTAGGGATGACTCCCTGGTGAGCCAAGGGCTGGGGCTCACCTTGCTATCTTGCATGTCCTTGTTGGCTCCATTTTTGAGCAGGGCCAAGGTGGCCTCCACATTGTTGACAGCTGCAGCCCAGTGTAAGGCTGATTTCCCTGGGGGGAGTGCAGAGAGGTCAAGGTCAGAATCAGGCTCATGTCCTGACCCTCCAAGGCAGAGAAGCAGGAAATGCCCAGAATATGGCCTGGTGAGAAGGAGCGGCCTGCCATGAGGATCTGAGCACCTGTGTTTGGGTCTGTGTATGTGTGCAGATCCGTAGAATGACTCTCTGTCCAAGGGAGACACTGTACAGGTGTCTTCCAAGGCCTGGGGCTCCTGTACATGGCACTCTCCATATACAGAGGGAACTATGCAGCCCTCACTTGTTTATTCCTAGAGGTGTGCTATCTGATGCAGTTGCCACCAGTCCCATGTGCCTCTTTAGATTTAAATTAACTAAAATAGGTGTCAAACCCATGCAATGGGGAAAGAATAGCTTTCTCAACAAATGGTGCTGGGACAACTAGATCTCCACATGCAAAAGAATTAAGGTGGACCCCCTACCTCACACCATATTAAAAAAAATCACGAATGAGGACACATTTGTAATTCCTTAACTAATAAAGAATTTAAAGATTAAAAAACAAACAAACAAACAAAAAACAAAAACAAAATCACTCCAAGACCTAAATGTAAAAGCTGAAACTATAAAATATTTAGAAGAAAATATAGGAGTAAATCTTTATGGTCTTGAATTAGACAAAGATTCTTAGATATGACACCAAAAACAGAAGCAGTAATACAACAAAAATACATAAACTAGACATTATCAAAATTAAAATGTTTGTGCTTTGAAGGACAACATAAAGAAAGTGAAGCCCTCACTCAGTTGTTTAGAGCGCCATCCTGATATGCCAAGGTTGCAGGTTCTATTCCCAGTCAGGATACATACAAGAATCAACCAATGAATGCATAAGTAAGTGGAACAACAAATCAATGTTTCTCTCTCTTTCTCTCTCTCTCTCTCTCTCTCTCTCTCTCTCTCTCTCTCTCTCTCTCTCTCTTTCTCTCTCTCTCTCTCTCTCTCTCTCTCTTTCTCTCTCTCTCTCTCTCTCTCTCTCTCTCTCTCTCTCTCCCCCCCCTACAAATTGAAAGAAATATTTATAAATCATATATCTGATAAGAAACATACTTAGAATACATAACCTTTATAACTCAATAATAGAAAGACAGCCTGGCAGGCTTGGCTCAGCAGTTGAGCATTGACCTATGAACCAAGAGGTCACGGTTCCATTCCCAGACAGGGCAATCCCCATGTGGGGTGTGCAGGAGGCAGTCTATCAATGATTCGCTCTTATCATTGATGTTTGTATCTCTCTCTCCCTCTCCCCTCCTCTCTGAAATCAATAAAAATATATTTTAAAAATATAGAAAGACAAATAACCCAATTAAAAATAGGCAAAACATCTGAATGGACATGTTGCAAAAGAAGACACATACAAATAGCCAATAAGCATATAAAAAGATGCTCAAAATCATTAGCCATCTGGAAAATGAAAATCATAAACCACAATGAGATACCAATTCACACCCACTATAAACAAAAAAACAGATAATAAAAAGTGTTGGCAAGGATATGGAGATATTGGAACCTTCATACACTGTTGGTGGGAGTGAAAAATGAGGCAGCCACTGTGGAAAACACTCCGTCATCCCAGAAAGTTCTATTGGATAGTGCTCCTGTAAAGCCATATTTCTCAACCAGGGGTGATTTTCCCCCCAGTGGCATTTAGCAATGTTGGGAGATATTTTTGGTTCCACAACTGGGAGGTGGGTTACTAGCATCTAATAGTTCAAGGCTGGGGATGCTGCCTAACACCCTGCAATGCAAGGATGGCCCCGACCACCAAAGATGCTCCAATCCCAAATGTCATTGGTAGATTAAGAACACCTGCTCCAGCCCTAACCGGTTTGGCTCAGTGGATAGAGCGTCGGCCTGTGGACTGAAAGGTCCCAGGTTTGATTCCGGTCAAGGGCATGTACCTTGGTTGCGGGCACATCCCCAGTAGGAGGTGTGCAGGAGGCAGCTGATCGCTGCTTCTCTCTCATCGATGTTTCTAACTCTCTATCCCTGTCCCTTCCTCTCTGTAAAAAATCAATAAAATATATTTTTTAAAAAGAACACCTTCTCCAAAAGTTGAGAACACCTACTCCAAAGAATGTTTGTGAGCATCTGAGTGTGTCTACGTCTGTGTGAGGTCCTCTGGACATAAGGGCAGGTTGTGAATCTCCACAACTCTGTGCAAGCCACCTCCAGGGACTCTGCTAGCAAGCCACTGGGGAAGGAGAGGCCACCTCATATAAATGAGTCAGTTAGCAAATGTATTGTAACAGCTGCCTAGCAGATGGCAGCAGTGATTACCTCTAACCAAGTAGGTGAAAATGAAGTGTCTTGGGGAAGGGCACCTTTTTCTAAGTCACTGATGTGTCGATGAGCTAGTGGATGCCATAAAAAAAAATGCACAAGAGCCCTAACCGGTTTGGCTCAGTGGATAGAGTGCCGGCCTGCGGACGGAAGGGTCCCAGGTTCGATTCCGGTCAGGGGCATGTACCTTGGTTGCGGGCATATCCCCAGTGCGGGGTGTGCATGGGGCAGCTGATCGATGTTTCTAACTCTCCCTCTCCCTTCTTCTCCATAAAAAATCAATAAAATATATTTTTAAAAAAGAAAGCAGATACTCTAAGTTTTAAAAAGAGAATGATGCACTTAATACACCTCTGCAAAACCATGTTTAAAAAAAAATGCACAAGAGTGTAAGTCCATGTTGCAGCCCTGTTATGTGTACAGGAACTTCAGTGATTGGGTCGCAGTGTTCACAGTGGGTGAGGGTTCACACAAACAAGACAGTCAGGGTCCATGTGACATCCTCTCAGCCCCCACCACCCACCAGCCTACCAAGTTCGTCCACAGCATTGACATCAGCGTGGCTAGCAATGAGCTCTTCCACCATGCCCTCCACCGCCAGGCGGGCCGCCAGGATCAATGCAGTCGACCCATCTGCCATGCGGGCATCCAGGTCTGTGGAGCGGTTCCGGATGAGAATCTAGGGGAGGGAGGTGCAGCAGGGGGAGTCATGGCAGACACAGGGGAACCAGGAGCACCTCTAAGCCCTCTGACGACCCAATCCCCACATCTCCTGGAATCAATGAGATTCAGGGAGAAACTGTACTCCCATATATCCCCATTTTACAAAAAAAAGCTCTGAAAGGCAGAACTGGGGCTCCAACCCAGATCAGTTCGATGCCTGTCCCAGCTCTGATGTCCAAAGCGGCAGGCCCATCTCACCTGGAAGACGCCCTGGGCATCGGCGGTGACAGCCGTGTGCAGGGGGGTGCGCCCTGAGTGGTCTTGGGCATTGGTATCTGCTCCAGCATCCAGCAGCCGCTTGGCGGCATCAGCCCGGGCATAACGGGCAGCCAGGTGCAAGGCCGTCTCACCCGTGCGGTCAGTCCGCGCCCCAAGCTGGGCCCCCTGGCAAATCAGGTCTGAGATGATGCTGGCTGACGTGTCTTCTGCCTCGTCCTCCTCAGCTGGCATGGGCTCCAAGGCCCCCCCGCAGAAGGAGGCCAGCATTAGCGGGGTGAAGCCGTCTGCAGGGAACAGGAACATATCACGGGAAGGTGGATACAGGGGCCTTTCCAGGGAATCCTGCTGAGGGCACTGCATTAGGAGGAAGTGCGACAAACGGAGGTACATCTGCATGCGCGCGCGCGCGCGCACACACACACACACACACACACACACACCTGTGTCAGGGCCCCAGAAGCCAACCCAGGATGCAGATTCATAGGCATGTGATTTGCCCCAGAAGGGCTCCGAGGCAGAAAAGGACAAAGGACAAGGGAGGGAGGAAGACAAACACATGCCCCTCAGACAAATTCCCAGCGGGCTATTTCATCCTGATCCCAAAGGGAAGGCTGGAGGCTGAGTTATACCTGCAGTTATACTCCAGCTCGAGGCAAAGGAGCTGTGCCTTTCAAATGCCCACACCCACCAGCTATGAAATCCCTTAGGGACTTCAAAAGATGCAGGCCTTTTGGAGCAAAACAGAGCTGGGGGAGAATACCCTGAAACATGGCAAAGATGAATCCAGCAGGATCCAGATAACATGGTCAGCAGCACTCCGTGAGCATTTGGCCTGGTTTCCTTAGGGAGACACTTGCACCCCATTCTCCATCCTCAAGCTCAGGTTAGAGCCAAACCCCCTCCCCCAGGGACAGGCATAGGGCCCAGGCTTGGTCAGTCTGCATATTCCAGGCCCCAGACCACACTGATTAGTTCAGGGATGAGCATGTGACCCTGGTCCGTCCAATCAGAACTCATTCTGGGACTTTTTCTGGTGTAGATGGGAAAAAAGGTTTTATAAGGCTGGTCCTGCCTGTGGCCATAGCGTCCCCAGGAAAAAGCCTGCCTGGGCCGGATCCAAATGCACCTGATGCTTCAGTTACAAGAGCCAGTACATCCCCTGTTTTACTTAAACTTGTATGAACTGGGCTATTATCACTTACAACCAAGAGTCCCGAGTAACAACCAGCCCCATAGACAAACACCCAGACATACCTCGCTCTCCCCAGAACACAGACGCAGACTCAGACTCTCACAAGTAGGAGCAGGGAGCGGGAGGTGCCGTCACTGACCTGGGCCACGCACGTTGACATCCATGCCATCAGCATCCGCCTCCCCCTGCGGCGGCGTCAAGGCCATGGCTGGTGCCACGCGGATGTCAGCAGCAACCAGGTGGTGTTGAGTCCACTGGCGGCAATCCACAGCGTCCTCGGCCCCCACGCCAGGCTCCTCTACCTGGAGGCACAAGGATCCAGGTTCTCACAAGGAGTTGGGGGAGACAGAGGGACAGTCGGAGTTTCTCTCATGGAGAGGCACACACAGCTCCCCCAAAACCCTGGGTGTTTTCTAGATAAGGAAACAGGAAATTGACATATAGGAGGTCAGAAAACTCGTTAGAGGAAAAACTGGAATTTTAATCCAAATTGGAAAGGGAGAAGGGCTTGGAACCCAAGGTGGGTGATCAAGGAAGAGACACAGCATCGTAACTGTCAGCACACACCTGTCCATACACTAGACTAGCGGTTCTCAACCTGTGGGTTAGGACCCCTTTGGGGGTCGAACGACCCTTTCACAGGGGTCGCCTAAGACCATCGGAAAACACATATATAATTATATATTGTTTTTGTGATTAATCACTATGCTTTCATTATGTTCAATTTGTAACAATGAAATTGGGGGTCACCACCACATGAGGAACTGTATTAAAGGGTCGCAGCATTAGGAAGGTTGAGAACCACTGCACTAGACACAAACACACCAAAAACAAGATTAAGTTGACAATTCTACTGACAACAGCATCCAGAAGAATATAATATTTAGAATTATATTTCCCAGGAAAAAAATGCAAAACTTGTATTCTGGAAACTAAAAATCATTGGAAAAGAAATGTGGGGGCAAGGGAATCCTTCAAGGATCAGGATTAATCTGGGAACGTGAATATGATCATGAGGTACAGGGACCAAATAGTCACTCACGAATGTATCAATGCACCTTCATGAGCAAAGCAACTGGGCCCCTCGCAGGAGCTCGATAAATTTCAGACCCAAGGTCCAAAAGGTATGAGTGATGTTATGGAAACAGGACAGAATATTCTTAACCAGTCTGCCAGCTCACTGAAGAGCCTTTGGGCACCAAACACAGAGCCTGATCAAGCTAGACCTGAGCTTAAGCATCCAGGTGACGTCCTCTGAGTTCTCCCACTGACCTTCGGGGCCCCACCCAAGACCCTGAAAACAGGGTTCAGAAGAGGGGGTAACAACCTTCAGTCGCTTGGCCTCTGGGCACTCTGTGTCCATCCAGTCTGTTGCCACCTCCCCCATCAGACTCTCCCCCTTGGCCATATTCCTGTGGAGACAATGGATAGGGGGGAGGGTAGAGGGGACAACTGAGACATGTGACCTGGAAGATTTGGGGTGGGGTCACAGCAGAGGTCCCAGAGGCGAGGTCAGGGTCTGGAGTTGGGATAGGTCAGTAGGCACAGGGGGCAGGGTCGAGATACAGGGTCCAATGAGGGAGTGCAGAATGGGGTCAAGGTCACAGGGAGTGCAGTCAGAAGTTATGATGAGTGACAGCCAGGGTCTAAAGGTGGAACTGTGGTGAGACAGGAGTGGGGTCAGGGGTCAGAGTAGTGAGCTGTGGGATAGGTGAGGGTCATGGCCATACATCCGGGGTTAGAGAGGAGGATGTCGTAACAGAATAGAGTTAACTTCGTAACAGGTAAGAGACATAGCCAAGATAAGGAGGTTGTGGAGAGGGGTCAGGGGGTCAGGAGGTCACAGGGGAGGGGTAAATTCGGGGGTTAGACCAGGGTGGGGTTTGGGTCTTGAGGGACAGATCAGGGAGTTGGAGGTGGAGCCTAGGATCAAGGCCAGGATTGAGGGTGGTGGGGAATGGACATTGAGTTGGGATGGAAAGGGGATCAGAGAGGAAGTCAAAGGTCAGAGTGGGTTAGAGCCAGAGGTGATATTGGGGGTCACAGAGGAAAAGCTCAGGGGTCAGGAAGGCGTTGGGGTACCCGACAGGGCTCATGGAGCCAGCAGTCATGTAGGAATGAATGCTGAGTATTAGCATGAAATCTGAGAGGTGAGGGCTGGGGTCGAGTCCAGGTGGGGTCAGGATAGAATTTGAGTTAAAGGAACTGGGACACAGGAAATGGAATCAGGGGTCACGAATCAGGGGTGATCCCCAAGGGATCATAGAGTCAGTGGTCGAGGGGATAGATACTGGGGTCCAGGCTGAAGTCTGAAGTTAGGGTCCAGTTAGGGTCAGAGTCAGGTCAAGGTGGACTCAAGGGCTCACAAGGCCCCTAAAGTCAGGGACAGGGAAAGGGCAGGGTCCTCACTTCATGCCCAGCGCATCTTGGCCCACAGGCTCCCTCCGGCCCTTGTGGCCAGCGGCCACGTCCTTGTGCAGCGCAAAGCCCTCGGGGAACCAGAGGGTGCTGTGCTCACGCTTGCGCCGGGCCACCATGACCACCAGGACCAGGATGACCAGCAGAAAGACCGCACTGGCAGCCAGCAGCGGCAACAGCGGCACACTAGGCTCCAGCGGCTCCAGCGGCTCCCCTGCAGGCAGGAAAGGAAGGACTTCAACCACGGCCTGGACCCCCCGCTGGGAGCCTCGGGTCCACCCTGCTCGCCCACCAGCCGGGCTCACCCCTCGCAGCCCACAGTGGGTATGGGAAGTCCAGGCGCTCCACCGCGGACAGCGCTCCCAGGTAGTCGGCCGCACTCTGGGCGTCAGGGAAGCAGTGGTCATTCTCGGGCAACTGCAGGCACAGTCGGTTGTCAATCTCCAGCATCACCACTGAGCTGTGGGGACACAGAGGAGGGATCGGCTGGCTTAGTGGGGCACCTACTGCCAGGCTGGCACCAAGCCCCATCTCCCACCCCAGTGCCAGGCTCCGAAGAGCTGTGTCCACTCACCATGTCACCATGGCCCACCTGCCCCCATCTGGCATCCAACCCCACCACACTCCCCAAGCCAGTTCTGCTGAGGCCACCAGAGTCCCCCAGACCATGGCTCCAACGGGCATGTTTTCATGGCAACATCTCTCATGGCTGCTGTCGGCACAGGCCCACATCTCCCTTATCAGGTTGCTGCATCCGTCTCCCGACTGCTATGAGCTCTGGCTTCTAACAGCGGGAGCCCCCCACTTCTCGGGAGAACTGGCCTCACTCGGCAAGGTGGGAACCCTCTCCCGTGGGAAGCGACACCTCTTAGGGGAGCATCAGCCAGTGACTGGCTGATGTGAGATATACAAAAGCTGACCCTCCTGTCTCAAGGTGGGACTGGCACTGAGGTGCTATTCGTGCTCAGGAGCGAGCACTCCGAGGAATCAGGCTGAAGCCAGACAGTGGCTGGGGCTCCCTCCTGCCTCAGTTTCTCTCCTACCCCATCCTGCTCTCTTCATCCCCCTCTCCTGAGAGCACCCTCCATAGGGCACAGATATCTGAGTGCCCATCTCAGGCTCTGCTTCCAGGAATCCAACCCTCCAAATCCCTTTTTCCTCGGGATCCCAAGAACCCCATAACCCATCTCTTCCAATTCTCCAGCTGCCCCTTTTCCTCTTATAACCATAGCACTGGTCCTATCTTATTTCTAACAAGACCCCAGAACTAAAGTTTAAACCATGGGTAGCCCTAGCTGGTGTTGTTAAGTGGTTAGAGCATCGGCCCAAGGGTCACCAGTTTGATTCCAGGTTCCAACCCCAGCCCCAGCCAGAGCACATGCACAAGGCAGCCAATCAAGGTGTCTCTCACATTAATGTTTTTTTCTCTCTCTCTCTTTCTCTCTCTCTCTCTTTCCCCTCCCTTCTCCCTCCCTTCCACTCTCTAAAAATCAATGGAAAAAATACCCTCGGGTAAGGATTAACAACAACAACAAAAACACCTTGGATACACCACTCACGAGTAACTTATGAACCCTCAACTGCTCTCCCCACAGAACCAGAGAACCAGAACATGACCAGAACCTGAATGCTGGAACCTTTTGAGAGGTGAAGGGTCCAAAGATCTGACCCTGAAACCCCTTAAATCTTGCTCCAAACCCTGGATCAGGGAAACAGATTTGAGCCTTGCCAGTGCCATAGTATTGGCTCCCATGCACCTCAGGCAGCGAGCTCTTGCTTGGTGCCTCTCTTTTCTGAGCTAATTTCCCTCAACCAATCCTTAGGTCTCAGTGTTCCCAGATCATTCTTTAAAATAGATAGAGAGAATCGTTGATCGGCTGCCTCCTGCATGCCCCACCCTGGGAATGGAGCCCACATCTCATGCATGTGCTATGACCGGGAATCAAACCATGACCTCCTGGTCAGAAGTCGATGCTCAACCACTGAGCCACATGGCTGGGCCCCAGATCAGTCTTCTATCCCCACCTCTCTCCCCATTGCTTTGAGTCCCTCTCATGACTTCAATGACTGCAACATCCTTTTGTCTTTCTTGTCTCTATCTTCAGCCCCTGGTTGCCTTCCGGGGAACTCCAGACTCCTCAGATTCTACAAGCCCCAACGCAACCCTAATTTTCACCCTGTGTCCTCAATTTGATGACGCCCTCCAGCCACTTGCTCACCCCAGCCAGGGCCTGGCACATAAGCCACGTACGATTTTTGTCCAGTCTCTTCCTGCACCCCCACACCCCTTCCCCCCAGCCCCCCTGCATCCCATCAGAGCCCATGCCCCCATCTCTAAAACTCATCCTTCCTCTGGGTCAGTGCCCACCCTGCTCAGAGACCACACCGCTCTCTGGCACTGTCCGGCCTGGTAGACCAGGCCACCAACAGGAGAGTTCTATGTTTTCCATTTCTAAGAAAAAACTACACATGTTATGAACTACTCTGCTATACCCCTGCCTCTCCCGAAGGAGGTAGGTCTATATCCAGGGGCAATTCTGCTCCCCAAGTGACCCTTGCCCATATCTTGGGGGTGGGCTGCTACTTGTATCTAAGTGGGTGGAAGCCAGGGACGCTGCTCAACATTCCACATGCACAGGACACCCCGCAGCAAAGAATGATCCTCCCCAAACGTTCATGCCATCAAGGTGGAGACGTGCTGGACTTGTTGTCAACAAGAAGGCTCCCCAAGATGTTAAGGGAAGTGAAACACACCAGACCTCGCCCATGCTGCCCCCTCCGGTCCCCCACGCGGTACCTGCGCGGCCCCCACAGCTCTCAGGGTAGAGCCACTCACCCAATCACCTCGGGGGCCAGCTCGCGCAAGTGCGGGGCTTCAGAGCCGGGGTCCTGCCGGTGGTAAGGGAAGACCATGGCCTGGCCGCGCTCGTCCAGGCGGAAGCGCAGGGAAGTGCGCAGGATGGCACTGAGCCGCTGCAGGAAGTGGGCCCTGGTCGCAGCGGCCGTCTGCAAAGTGGTCCGCGCAGTACTTCTCATAGACCGGACTGGGGGCAGGAAGGGGGCACCGTCAGGGGGCCTCCAGCCCCCTGCACACAGCGCACCCCAGCTCCGGAGACAGAAGGGGTCAGACAGCAAGCACAGAGGGCTGGAATGTGTCCAAATACGTCAGGCTTTCTGGAAATCCAGCCACTCGCTCAGTAACTATGAATAAATCACTGTGGATAACACCTGGTAGGTGCTGAGCCTGCTGCGGGCACCCAGGGTAGGCCCAGGCATACCCGTGAACACGTGGAGCTGGCATGCTGGGAGTTGGGGACAGATGGTAAAGGAGAGGATATAACAGCATTTCCTTTACACGGCAGTAAAAGCTAAATGTAAACAACACACAGAGAGAATGCTATGTAGGATTACATGCTAAGGAGGAAAATACAGCAGTGGGACAGAAGGGACCGAGCACAGGATGGACAGATGGAATGCATGGGACAGACAGATGGGGGCATGGATAGACACAGAGAGGGGCAGGACAGACAGGCAAGGGCAAGGACAGCTGTGCGGGCATACAGAGGGGCAAAGGGGGTGCGTGGAAGGACAGAGGACAGACAAGGAGACATAGATGAACAGGTGGGACACAAAGATGGTCAGATGGACTGATATATGAGGCACATGGACAGACAGACTGGCATACAAACAGATAGATGCACAGATGAGATGGGCAACATACAGCTTGGCACACAGAGGGGCGAAAGGAATTCGTGAATGGACAGCAAGACGGACAAACAGGGCACAGGGAGGGAAAGATGGAGTGCAGAAGCAGACAGAAAAAGAGAGAGGCGGGTACATGGATGGACAGACAGATGGGAACATTGGGACAGGCAGGGCACAAGGATGGACAGAGAGGGCACATGGACAAGGATGGGCCAACACACAGAAGTGGCACTCAGCTGGGCAGGACAGGTACACTAAGAAGCAGACAGGGCAAATGAATGGATGGCCCAGCAGTCTAAGGATAGACTGAAAGACAGACAGACCAAGGCAAAGGAGTGGACAGATAGGGAGGCAGGACCCGTGGACGGGCACGTGGACACACAAGACGCAGACTAGGGTGGATGGATGGATGGGTGGATGGACAGAGGCGGGGCCCATGAACAGACAGACAGAGGGAGGGGCTCACTTGCAGGTGCGCTCGCGGCCTCCAGCCCGGCAGTCAAAGTTGTCGTAGAGGCAGGCGGGGGAGCTGCAGGCGGGGTCGCAGCGGCTGTTGTTGAAGAGGCGCCAGCACTGCAGCGCCGCGCACTGCCGCCAGGGGTCGC